CTCACAATAGGTAAAGGAAATCTCAAAACAACAGAAGACTGGAGTAAACAAATCATGCAATGCACAGGGTAATCATTAAGATGTACAACATCCATTTATCAGAGACTTCCTGCTGATTTTGAACAGAATGAACTTACCCTTCAACAGGATGCCATTGAAGAAAAATTAAAATATGTGTTTAATCAAATAGGTAATGCTGGGGAAAGGGGATTGGTTTTCTTTGACAAGACTTAAAATTATACTGTCAGTGCAAAAGGGTCTTTAAAGGGATCAAGAGTATGAGTTTGGGGCATGCAAAGCAGTATATCACTGTAATCTTATGCCTAACTGCCAATTGCTAAAGTTACCACCATATGTCATTTAAACTGTAAAGCAATGTCTCAGAATAAAAAGTTCTTCATTATTGGAAGTGAACCAAAATAGTATGGATAATGGTTAAGCTGATAGAGGACTGGTTAGAAGTTCTCTGGAATAGATACCTGGGAATCTATTATATATTCTAGTTCTCAATAATTTTATGGACATGTATCTGAACAATTAAATAATAATTTCACCTAAAAGTGTAGTGATGTGGTTATTAATCGTGACAGTGTGATTAGATCACTACAACCCCTCAATGTTTCAGACACCAAACCATTCAAGGACCATTGCAGAAGAAATATGAGTCGTGGTTCTTGTCTAAAAACTTTCTGTTGAGAACTTTTGGTAAGATCAAAAATTGCCAGCAAGGGTTGGCCGAGTGGCGCATTGGTTAGTTGTTGGCTTGGGACGCCAGCTCTGAGCAATAGGGCCCCTGTTTGGATCCCACATGAGGGCCAGTGACACTGCGCCCTCTACAGCTAAGATGGTGAACAACAGCTCCACCTGGAGCTGGGCTGCCGTGAGTCGCCTAAGACGGTGTAGGCTGCAGTGGGGCTGGCTGGCAGCAGGCGTGACCTGCCATCCAATGGCCAGCGAGTGACTGCCTCACCTGGGAAGAGCTCAATGATAATACCAAAATGGGCCAGTGAAGCGACATTCTCCAAACTAGACTGAAGAACAAAAGGACAACAACTTGTCTGTTCCCCTTCCCGGATTCCCCCAACGCTGTTCCCCTCCCCCAATTCCCCAATAAAATCTTAAAAAAGAAAAAGTGCCAGCATCAAAACTTACAGAATGGAGACAATAGTTATGCACACTTTAAAGAAATGCTATATCATTGACATTCTTGATGGCTCAGGGGACATTATTTTGTGGAAAAATATGGATGCCAATGAATCTAAGTTAAGAAAAGTTGAATTCTAAATGTATGAAGTTTAGGAATATATCGACCAATTTATTTCACGTATATTTACCCTTTTATATGCACAATACTCATACATGATTTTAAATATCTATATGTTGAAATAAATCAAAAGAATTCTTTCAATAAGGATAAAATAAAAATTCTAAGTGATAAAAAAATAATGTCATAGTTTATATTTTTGTGTCAAGGTAAAAAACATTATTAGAGATAAAGGTCAGTTCACAGTAATGAAAGGTTTGACTCACTAGTAACACAAAGTCTGAATGTTTTTGACAGAACCACAAGGAGAAATTTCACAAAATAGATTTTAACATGCATCTTTCAATAATTGATAAAATTAATCAGGCAAAAAATCAGCAAGGATGTTTGAACAACATAAATAACAAGCTTGGGTTAGTGAACATGGGTAAGACATTTGGCCCAACAAATGCAGAATTCACATTCTTTACAAATTCACATGGAACATTTATAAACAGTCTATTTGCTGGGCCACAAAGTAAGCCTCAACATATTTTAAGTGATTGAAGTCATTCAGAATATCAATTCTGATCAGAATTTTGAAATCTATAAAAAATAAAATCAGTAAAAAAAACCCAGAATAAATAGAAAATCCTTATGTTTAGAAATTATCAATACATTTTAAATAAATCTTGAGGATGAAGGTAAAATCCTGATGGAAATTAGATGATATAAAAGGAAGAAAAATTGTGTAAATATTTGCACAATATTATGATTTGTATATGAAAAAATCCAAAAGAATCTACAAATTATTCTTTAGAATGATAAGAAAGATTATAAATACATTATTAGGATGAACAAGAGTTTAGCAAAGTTGCTAAATTCAAAGTCAATGTATAAAAGTCAAATATATTTTTACATACCAGCAAAAACAATTAGGAGAGAAAGATACCATTTATTCCATTATCAACACTACCAACTACATAGAAATGAAACTATCAAAAATATATAAGATCTCTGTGAAAAATTATAATCCTTAATAGAGAGATATTAAAGAAAATATAAATGAATTAGTACACAATTATAAAGATGCCAAGTCTCTCAAATGTATTTAAAGATTTAGTGCCATTCAGATTCTCAATACAGTTGTGAATGTGTGTGTAGCTTCACAAGCTGATTTTAAAATTTATATGGAAGTGAAAACAAAACCTATTCTCCATGATCAAACCTATTATAAAGCTCTAGTAATTAAGACAGTTTGTTGATAAAGCAGAGATAGACAGAATCATAAGATAGAATGGGGTCCAGAAGCAAACCCATCCATATAGGGACACTTGATTTATGACAGTCAGCCCAGCATAGTGGTGGCAAAAGGGCCGAATGTTTAGTAAATATTGTTGGAACTGAGTATCCATCTAGAAAACAGTGAAAGGGACAGCTCATTATTAACAAGCTGCAAGAGAACTAAAATAGAAGACAAAACTATAAAGACTTAAAAAGATAATACAGGAAAAACCTTCATGACTGCAGGTTAGGGAAAGATTTCTTAAATCATTAAAAGCCCTAGCCATAAAGGAAAGAACTAATAAATTTGACTTCAACTTCTATTCATGGACACCATGAGATAGTGAAAAAACAAGCCAGAGAGTAGAGGATATGTGCAATATTTACACATAAAAGAGACAGACACACAGTAGAAAATTAACAGTTTCTCTTTCTCTGGTTTTCACTTCCTCCCACCAACACACACTTTACGGGTGCTTTTGTTTTTGTTTTTGATTTTATTTTGTTATTTTTATTTTTGAGGTCCATATACATGGTAACTACTGAAAAGTGGACATGAATGCATCTTAGATAATTACAAAAATAAAAAAGTGCTAATTTGGTTTTGAATCTATAGTGATTGATTTTCCATAAGATGTTTCTGTCTTATAAGTGAGGAACTAAGTTAGGAAAAATGCAAAAGGAAAGTGAAAAGATAGTCTTGATGAAAACAATGGTGATTCTTTGTTCTTAAAAGAGGATAAAATGAATGATTTAATCTTACAAACATGAGGAAAAACGAAATTTGAAAGGGAAGGTAAAAAAAGTTCAAATAGGAAAGGAAAATGAAAAAGTATACACAACAGAGCTAAGAAATGTTGGAAGATAGTATCTGAATGGTCAACAACAACAACTGTAACCGTGAAACAAAACAAATTCAAATAATGGTGATTCTTGGGGCCCTAGAAGAAACCCTTTGTTTTTATCAATGAACTATTTAAAAAATAAATGCAACATAAAACATAGCTTTCCATGAGGGAGTTGAACGGGAGGTATATGGAAAAAATGAATAGGAAAATTAACAGGAACAAATTCTAAGTAGAAAGAATCTGAAATTGTCAGCATGCAGAAATCAGAAATTTGGTGTCCTTGTTTTTAAGTAGGATCATTTTAATTTCTTTACCTTATGAGTTTCTGCCAATTAATTTTTTTTTTCTTTTGGAGCTTTCTGATTGTGGGGGAGGGGTGGTAAGAGTTTTGAAGGCTGTAGAATATAGAAGAACAGGAACTCAGATACTTGGTGTTTATCCTAGATTTGCAAATAGAAGTGCTAATTAATGTGTATCATATAATAAAATTGTGGCAGCAGTCAAGGTTATAAAAATATTTGCAGCCAATAATCTTGTTTCTGTCTTAGTAAGACCTTTTGGTTTACTGGTCTGTATAACCTACTTTTAATTAATTGTTAATTTTCCACTTTGTGGATTATTATTTTATCTTTTCTGCTGTTGACCTTTTGACCATTTCACCGATAATTAGCAACTTCTTCAGAGAGGAGGGTAGGAGGAAACTAAATAAATGTATTTGTCTACATTTATTGTGCTTCCTGTTAATCCTGCCTTGGGAAAAGTCTAATAACAAAGAAGTTTAATGCTATGATTAAAATGATGGTGTTGTTCAAATTAGTCTTGTAAATCACAGACTGGTTTACAAGGGCCTGGCAGGTAAGGTAAGTGAGTGCTTGGGATGCTCAGTCATGGACAGTAGGGCAACTGTGGGTAGCAACATGCTCCCTCTGACGGGATTGCAATATTTTCACTTACAGAACATACCTAATGGCTGAATTACATCCACAGGCTGCCAATTTACAATATCTGCAGCATTTGTATTGGTAATTTTAAGTATATGCTTAGATGTCATAAAATATTGTTGCTGAAATGTGTGATGGAAGTTTACTCAAGTATACTGATATAGGTATGAGCTAGTTGGCATGAAAAACACCAAACAGGGACCAAAAGAAATGCTTTACGCATACCATGAAGCACAGAGTTAACAAGTGAACAGTTGTGACCATCCTGGTTCATGATAATTTATAAAGAAGTAACTCTTTTACCTAAAACCTATCCTAAGCCGAAAAGAGACTGATCCTCCTGAGTGTGTGTGCAGGTCTTTCCCACAGAGGTGCTCAAAAACTATTTCAATGATTAAAAATGATTTTTTTATTGTGAAATACACATTTTTTTAAAAATTAGTTTCAGCCGTACAACACAGTGCAATAGTTATATTTAAAAAATGATTTTTAAAGACAGAGCAATAGGCCACATAGGAGTCTACATTCACAATGTATATTCCTGTGGATTTATAATAGATTGCTGGAAAAAATCCTATATAATTTTTTATGCTTATTAGGTTGCTTTAAATTTGCAAATAGTGATGTTTCTTTATAATGCATATATTTAGGTTTTTATGTTGTTTTTGCTCACTTTTTTCTCAGGGAAAATTTCATGGAAATCCAATGCATGTAGCTGTGGTTATTTCAAATTGTTTAAGAGAAGAGAGGAGAATATTGGCTGCAGCCAACATGCCCGTTCAGGTAATACTTTCTGAACTTTGGTCTTGTTATCGTCTTGAACTCCACTTTTTCTGAAACAGAAATTCTTACCTTCCTTCGAACCAGCTTCTTCTACCTGTTAGTGGTGCCACCATCCTTCCGGTCCCTTGTAACCAAGGCCTAGGGATGATCTTTTAGATCCTTTTCTCTGCTCCCTTATTGAAGTAATTACCAAGTCTTTCCAGAGTTCTGTTTTGTTTTTAATCCCATCTATACTGTCTTTTCTATTTCCACTGGTCACACTCTGGTCCATGTTCTTACAACATCATAGTAACATCAGGAACATCGTAACCATCTCCTTGCTGAATTCCTAACCACCATTTGGACTCTGCTTCTCTCAGCATATTTATCCTCAGGGATTGATCTTCTTCAAACCCTTAAGTAGCACCTGATGTCCTACCCGACGAGAAGGAATTTTACCTCACAAAAACTCCATAAATACTTGCTTGTTGATTGCTTGATTGTAATTTGCCCTTCTATATTTTATCCCACTATTCTGAGTGAATTCAGAATGTCCATCAAAGGCAAGTAAAGGAATCAATAAAATCCTTAATGAATACTTTTTCAGTTAATCCTTATAAAAAGAGGAGTATGTAAGTAATCCATTTTCCAAATTACGTCTTCCATAATTTAGTAAATCACACCACAATATTTATTTTTGAAGGTTCAAGAAAAGTATCTTTTTTAATATTAAACATTTTCAGGTTTAGTTATTCTCAGGTTATGGTTGTTTGGGGAGAAGTATGAAGTTGCAACAATTTTCTATTCTTATTTTTTAGATGAAGAAGGACAGTATTTTTATTTAATTTAAAATCTAAAGCATAGTAAGTTTCTAAAGTAAATATAGTTTGTTTCAGCATTTGTGGGGTGATATTAAGATGCTACAACTATCGTTTCTTGTATCCCTCTTATCTCTCATCATTTGTGTGTGTGTGTGTGTGTGTGTGTGTGTGTGTTGTTCCCTTCAAATGTCAGATATCAGTTAAATTAGAAACATTATTTTTTTGAGCAGATGCTCATCAAAGTCACTCTGCAAATAATCTGCCACTGCCACAAAAAAAGCACTGGTCTGTGAAATTCAAGTAGATAGACAAATAAAGGAGGCCAAAATGAGAGAGAGGGAATATTGAAAACGCTTTACTATCTGAAGAATGTGGTGTAATTGAAAGAATTGACAATGAAGGAAATGGGTCCCACATGAGGTTCCACCACTGATTTGCTCTGGATCTTAGCCAAGTCATCAACCTTTCTAACCTTAGCTCCCTACCTAACTGTAAGATAAAGGAATTGTCTACATCACTAACTCTCATATCTAAATGTCTGGGTAACTTTACATTTAAGGAGCACACTCAATGTCAGATTATTACAGTGGCCAAAAAAAGGTGCTTGGAGAAGCTGGTTAGTCTTTCTATTTAACTAGGCTGACATTTTTACATATTCTTTAGCCAACTCCCTTTGTTCTAGTGTAAAAATAAATCTCATCCTGGTAGATTCATCATCCCTAATTCTGAATTTAGTTTCATTATGCTGATTTTTAAATTGCATGTATTAGTTTTACAGAATGTCAAAAGTAATGTAGGCCTATTACAGAAAATTAGAAAAAAATTTTAAGCCATAAAATCATCTGTAATTTCAATATATGTAGATCCATATATTATAAATACCAGGGGTGCCAAAAATATGTATACACATGACTTGTAGTCATCTTTTGTTATCGGTATATATTGAGTATTACAATTTTAATACAGTTTTTTTTTCCTTTCTTACAATGTGTGTACATTTTTTGGCACCCTCTGTATATATACATCTATAAGCAATAACGATCATAAATATATGGTGTTTTTATAATTTTCTCAATTTCTTAACAATTTAATACTACTTATATATCATTAAATATTTTTCTACAGCATGATTTTTAACAGTTATAGATTATTTCATAGCATATTGATCCAAACCTCAGTTCAAAGTGTACTACATACACTACAAAGTATACTACATTCATCATAAACTTTTTTATCAACATCATTTACATTTCAAGACATCCTTCTTTCAGGGACCTCTGGAGAAATCCTTACAAACTTCTTCAGTTTCGGAAAGACAGAGGAATGTGGAGCACAAAGTGGCTGCCATTAAAAATAGTGTGCAGGTGAGTGATCTTACAGATACCTAGACAGGCTAGCTAGTGTCCCCATCCAAATACATATGCACTTTTCTCCTATGTGCCCAAAGTTAGTGGATACAGAAATCATAGGACAATTTGTTAATAAGATAAATGTCTCTCATACACTGTGTTTATACTAGAAAAGATTTCTTTGGGGGGAGCTTTTTAACTTCAATTACTGGAGACTGAGGCTTCTCCATCAGACTCTATCACTGGGAAGCTATGTGGCCTCAGGCAAGTAAGTCACTTCACATCTCTGAGCCTTTGCTTCTTCATCTGTAAAAGTGAGAATAACCACCATCATAGGGTTGTTGTGAGGGCTGCATGAGATCATATGAAAAGTTTTTAGCCCAGATCTTGACACTTAATACCTGTTATGCCTGAGCAGAGAAACATCAGCAGGTTTGGAGAAGAAAAAAGTGAAAATCTCAGAGACAGAAACAAACAGGAGACATGAAAGAAGCATAGATTTTTTTTTTCCTAAAAAGTAGAAAGGAAAAAAAAATTATACAGAATTGTCATAAACTTCAGCAGATTAGAATGGAGGCTTTAAGCAAAATGATAATTGGTACATTAATACAGAATTATATGGAATTAAACTGGAAAAGTATCCATGTTCTCAGGTAAAAAAGCTATTAGTAGCATTTGGAACAAATTGAGAAATGAGAGGCATGATGCTGAAAGATTTCCAATCAGGAAGAGAAAATGGAAGAGCAAATTCAGTCTGGTTCTTCCAGCGTTATTCAATTTTCATGGGAATTAGCTCTCTAGAAATGTAGGTTCTATACAGTTAGTCTAGGATATTGCTGGAAATGGGAAGCACAAACAGTGTGTTTTGAAATACTGATGATGTTGTTCCATTGACATGCTTAATTGTAACAACTGAGTATGTTTTCTTTCGTAAAAAGATGACAGAACAAGACACCAAATATTTAGAAGACCTGCAAGATGAATTTGACTACAGATATAAAACAATTCAGACGATGGGTAAGTTTTTGTTTCATCTAGAATTCTACTTAGGGACATAAAAGCAACATGACTAGGGTTTCTTCTTTACTGACAGAATTGATAAATTGATCTGCTTCCCTAAGTGAGTTTTTTCTTTCTTTCTTTTGAAGGGAAGGTTCAGGAGAGTATTTATTTTGCTTCCTCTTTTTTTCCCCATATATATATATATAT